TTTATATTTTATTACAGTTTATCAGATTACTGATTTAATAATATAAAAAATAATAATATACTATATATATATTTAATTATTTAGATAATTATTATATTTACTTTTTCAATAATAAACTTTTATTGTAAAAAATTGTATTTTTTCGCATAAATAAACTTAGTTTTTTTTATCTCTATACTTTTGTTTACTATTTAATTAATTTACTATTAAAAAACTAATTAATTATTAGATCAATTGTAGAGCCAGTTATATATATATATATATATATATTATAAAAAAATTACATATTTTTATTATCTAATCAAACTGTAAAAAAATATATACAAAAAATTTTATATAAAATTTAAATTATCTTAATAATAACCTATTAATTTAACTTAATTATTCAATATTATTTTTGTAAAAAAAATATAATAAATATATTATTAATCTGATATATATAGTTAATAACTAATTTTATAAAAAAATTATCAAACTGTAAGCTAATTATTTTTAAATTTTTTTATATAATTAATAATAATCTTAATAATAAACATTTAGGCAATCCATTAAAATAGGTTTTTTAATTTGTAATAATAATGTATATAATAATAATTTTTTGAAAAAATACCTTTATTTTTTGTATTTTATATCAAGTAGATATTTTTTTTTATAGATAATAAAAATATATTTTAAATTATAAAAATATAAGTAATATTAAAAAAAATTTTAAAATTGTAAAATGTGAATAACAATATTTTTTGTTATTAAATAATGATTTAATTTTCAATATTTAAAATTATTTTTATAATATATTTATTTCAATTTACATATTTTATTAAATTTTTGGACTGCAGATATATAATACATAGTTTTAGATGTATTAGATAATTTTTAAAACATTTTTAAAATAAATAACTTATTATTTAATTTAAAAAAAAAATTATTGTAGGTAACACTATATTAGAATAATTTATTTAATAATCTAATAATGTTTATTCAATTGTCAAGTAAATTCAAAAAATATTATTTAAAAAATGTATTATTAATTTCTGATATATAATAAATTACTAATTTCTATCATATTGTCTGACTGTAAACAAATAATTTTAAAGTTTTTAATATTATTATAAAAAAATTATAGATATTTATAGCTATCTAATTAGGTATAAATAAATTTTGTATTAATAGTATTGATAATATATAGTAATAATAATTAAAAAAAAAATACTTTTATTTTTTTTAAGTTTGTTATCAACTAGATATTGTTTTTGTTTAAAAAAAATATATTTTAAGTTTTTTATACATAAGATTTATAATTAATAATTCTATATTTTTTTAAATAAAATATTTTTTCAATCATATACTACGATTTAACTGTCCGAAAAAAACTGTATATTTTACCAGTGTTTCAATTAACTAACTTTAAATAGTATAAAAAAAATATTAACTTATTTATTTGTAATAATATTTTATTACAGTTTACCGATTATTAATTTAATAATAAATTTAAATAATAATATTAATTATATATATGTATATAATTATTTAGATAATTATTTTCTATTTGAAGAAATAAAAGATATTTTAATAAATTATTTTAATATTTTTTTTACTTTAACAAATAACAAACTTTTGTATACTATATAAAAAATTTTAATTAACAAACTATTAAATCTAACTAATTGTTAGACAAATTGTAAAGACAGTTATATATATACACTATATATATTGGAAAACTATTAACATATTATTATTAACTAATCAAATTGTAATTAAAAATTATCCAAAAATTTTATATATAAAAAATATAATCTAAATTATAAATAAAATGTTTATTTTATATATTCAATTTTATTTTTGTATAAAATATAAAAACTGTATTATTTAATTTAATATATAGTTAATAACTTATTTAATCAAATTATCAAACTGTAATAAAATTATTAAAAAGTTTTATATATAATTATAATAATTTTAATTTTATTTATTTAGAATTTGTGGACAGCACAATAAATTTTTAAATTTGGAATAATATTGTTTATAATAATAATAATAATTTTTAATTTTATATCAAATAGATACTACTTGATATTAATAATGTTAATAAAAATGTATTTAAGTTAACGTGATCATTAATTTATAATTATGTATTTTTCAATGATTTACTTTTTTTTGTTAAATTTCCTGTAAAATAAACTTTAACTTTACAACTATATTTTTAAATAAATTATATTAAAAATAATTTTTTACGTCAAATTTCTTATCCTAACTTTAATAAACATAATAATATGTTTATTTATTTGTTAGTAATGAAATTTTATTACTGTTTATAGATTACTGATTTAATAATAAATATAATTAATAATAAATAATATATTATTTAAATAAAACAAATTAGTTAAATAGTATTTTTTGTCTTTATCTAATAACATAACTATTGTTTACTATTTAAACTATTAACTATATATAGGTATATATTAGAAAATAATTTACTAATTAATTTTATTAATTAATAAAAACTGTAATAAATATTATTCAAAGATATTATTTATAATTATAATAATCTTAAATATTACAAACAAGTTTGACCAACTTATGAATTTTATTTTTGTAAAAATAATATTTAAAAAACAACTGTATTTTTAATCTAATAAATAGTTAATTACGAAATTTTATCAAATTATCAGATTGTAAAATTATTAATAATATTTTTTTTTAAATAATTATAATAATATTAATTATAAAAATTTATAAAATGTGGTAGAAATAATAAATTTTTTGATTTGATATACTATGGTTTAATTGATTGTTAAAAAAAACTATATTTTTAGATAAATTATGTTTTAAATTTTTACATAATTTTGTTAGCTGTTCAGTTTTTCAGGCTAATATTAATAAAATATAATAAAAATAATTACTTAATTATTTCTAATGAAATTTTTATACAGTTTATCGATTACGGATTTAATAATAAATCCATTAGTAATTAATAATAATATTAATTAGATAAATAAATAAAATAAAAAAAAATAAAAAAAAATAAAAAGTTCATTAATTAATATATATTATTATAAAATTTTTGGAAATTTAAATTATAAATTTTTGTTATGCTAATGATAATGATTTTATAATTTAATATATTTTATAATAAACTATAATAAATCAAAATTATTAAAAAGTTTTTTATATTATTATAATTACTATATTAATAATAATTATATAGAATTATCTGAATAATGATTTTTAATTTTGTAATAATATTGTATATAATAATAATTAAAAACAAGCTAATAAAATCAATAGTTTATATTGCCAAAAAATTATATATATATATTGTTAAATAATCAAATAATTAGTATTAAAATAATATCAGGATTAAATGGAACTAAAATAATTCAAATAATTCAAATAATTTATTATTATTATATTTATTAATAATTTTCTAACAGTTTGTCATTTACTAATCGAAATTATAAAAAAAAATAATAGTATATTCGGTTATAACTAATTAATTAATCTATTATTATAAATAACATTTATAGATTTCCTAAAAAAAATTAATCAAATTATTATTAAAAAAATAATTTTTAGTTATTAATAGCTATAATATTAAAAAAAACTGTAAACACAATTATAATATTAGTTTTCAAATTGTTTATTAATAAATATTAAATATTATATTAGTATCGAAATGGGCCGAATATTTAGTTTATTTTTTAAAGTGTATTTTATAATTAAATTATTACTAAGATTGATAAATTTAAAATAAAATAAATAATTATTATCAACAAAATATATATATTATCAACAAAGCTGTTCTAACTTTATTGAAAAATATACAATAATTTTAATAAAAATATAATAATTTTCAAATAGTTTACAGTTTAAAATCTTAATATTAATTTAATAAACTTTAAAAAATAGTATATTAATAATAAAAATCAATTATAATTAAATAACAAAATATATGTCTGAATAGTATAAAATAATAACTTATTAAATATTATTTAAAAAATATTTAAGTAAATTATTTTATTTTTTCTAAAAAAATATATTTTCATTAGATAAATTATTATTTTTTTTTAAAATAGTGTATAGTTAAAATAAAAAATAGTTAATAAAATAATTATTAATAATTATTATAAACAAAACAATTAGTTTTACGCACTTATCATAACTAATTATAAAATAAATATAATTTTTATTATAAAATATTGAAATAGTTTACAGCTTATTTTTATGATTAATTTTATTAATTTTAAATGTCTTAATATATTATTAATAAATCTATATATATATATAATTAAATAACAAAATATATGTCTGAATAATAACATATTAAAAATTATGTTCAATTAAAGAAACTGTAACTAATATAATATATTTTTATTTTTTTATTTAAAATAAAAATTAAATATTAATTAAAATAGTTATTCGAAAACATAAGTTTAATAATATTTTAGTCATTTAGTTATTATAATAAAGTTTATAAATTTTTCAATAGTCTATTTAGTCAATTTCATAATCATATACTAATAATTATTTATATATATTTTTTTGATAATTAAATCATATTTTACTGCAATATATAAAGATATACTTATATTATATACTAAAAAACAAAATAAATAAATTACATATAATGTTATTAATAATAATAAATAATTATATCTAAACTAATGTTTTCTTAATTAATAATACTATTAATTAATTATTTTTTTTATAATAAAGTTTATAATTTTTTAATCAGTCAATTTATTCAATTTCATAAACATACAAAATATACTAATAATTATTTTTTTGATAAATAAATTATATTTTACTTCAATATATACTGTATATAGTACTTATCTGCTGTTATTAATAATAAATAATAATTATTACTAAAATAATGTTTATTTAATTAATACTATTAATTAATTACTTGAAGTGTTTCATTAATCAGTGAACATTCGGCCAGTATTTCGGTCAATGTTTTTGTGGCCAATTGATTGCGTAAACTGATTGCGGCCAACAGTTCAGTTGACCCGACGGTAGTTGCGGACATTGGTTACGGCAATGATTACATTGTAGACCCGATAGAGTACAACGGCATCGACTTCGACAGTTAGGGAGTCTTTGGTCAGTACTTTCTGTGCCGGTATGTCATAGCAAACGGTACGACAGTCGACAATACAGTAGCGATCGATATAGGGATAGACAAACACCAGACCCGGACCTGAATCACGAACTGGTAAGTCATACAAACATACAATCAATAAATATTAATTAATTAACTGAATTAATTGAAAATAATTTATAAATAGTAATACACATACAAAATCAAAATTAATATTTTAAATTACATAAACAAATCAAAAATAATTTTTACAATTAATAACACTATTATATATATATATAACATTATATATAATAATTTTAAATAATACCATATTAGTAATAAAAATCATATAAAATTAAATTAAAAATATATGTCTTAAATGTATAATATTAATATTGATATTAAATATATAATATATATGTAATAAGTATATAATAAGTATATAATATTAAATGTATAAATGTATATAAAATTAAGTTTAATAAGTTTTTGCTAATTATCTATACTTAGCTAAATTGTTTGGTTTAAATTTCCAGTAAAAAATAAATACATCAAAACTACAACAATTAATTGTAAAAATAATTTATTCAATTTTTAACAAAATAATTTAAATCAACTTTGAAGGTTAAATTTATTACTTAATTTATTGTTTTAAAATTTATTTTTTGATATATTAATATAATTTACAATTAATTTAGCAAGCTGCAACTTTTATTAATTAAAACATTTGGTTTTTAAATTAATTTTTTTAAATATCGGACTGTAATAAAATTAATAATTTATTTTATATATAATTATAATAATTATAATAATAAATTATTAGATAGCTTGAGAGGGGGGCTTTATTTATGTAAAAAACAATAAATAAAACTGTAATTTTAATTACATATACTGTATATATATAGTGAATTATAATAAATATTTATGTTTTATAATTATATATATATATATATATATATATAAATGATATAAAAACAATATCAACTTAATACAAAATTCAATAATTATAATATAGTGTGGACAAATTATTTAATAGTTTTATATATTTAATTATATTAATATTAATAATATAATTTATTTTTGTAAAAAATTAGAAAAACTGTAATTTCATAAATAGTAAATTCCTAATTTTTGATTATAAATATCGGACTGTAATAAAATTATTAATATTTTTTATATATAATTATAATAATTTTAATAATATTTATTAGTTTAAACGGGGTGCTTAATTTATAATTAAATATGTATATTTTTAATGAAATGTTTTTTTCAATTATATATTACGGTTTAACTGACTGTAAAAAAACTATAACTTAACAAATGGTTTTAAATAAAAATAATATTATAAATTTTATTATAGCGTTTCGTATAGCAAACAAAAATTTTTAATAATAATAGAAATAATTACTTAATAATTACAGTTTATCAATTATTAATTAAATAATAAATATAATAAATAAATAAAAATAATATATTTTTTTTTATTTTAATAAATAAAAGTAGTTTTTCTAACTGCTTAAGCTTAATAAAAATAATAATATATTTATTTATTTATTAGTAATGAATTTTAAATACAGTTTATCGATTACTGGTTTAATAATAAATATAATTTATAAAGAATAAAGAATAATATATTTATATAATATGTTTTCTATTTCTGTAAATTATTAATATCTATTTTAACTAATAATATTAATTAAGTTTTTTTTTATTTTATCAAATAATTATTTCAATATTTGATAATTAAATAAAATTTTTATGTTATTATTATTAATAAATAAGTTTAATAAGATTGTGTTAAAATAAATAGTATATATTTAACAATAAAAACTGAAAACTTAATATATTTTTTATATTATTAATCGTATTAGTATTTTGTATTTTAAACATTTAGATTTAGCATCAAATGAATTAAATTTTATAATTTTATTTTTTAAAAAAAATATATATAAAATATAGTAAATAAATTATACAGTAATTAGTTTATTATGATAATTATTAAAAAAAAATTATCATAATTAATAATTATAAATATTTAAATAATTATTCTTGTTATAATATGTTAATTGATAATAACATTAAATAATTTTATTAAATCAATAATGTTTGTCCAAATGATAATAATAATTACATTTCATTTGATTAGATTACTACAAAATAAATTATATTTTCTCAGCATATTTCTAGTAATAACTAAATATTTTAATAAAACAAATGCATTTATTTATTTTTTTATAACTATTATAATATAATTACAGTTTTTTTTAAATGAAATATTATTATTGAAAAAAAAAATTATTATAATTTTAACTATTTTGGCAACTTTTTATTTTTATTTATAATATTTTTTTAAAAAAAATAAACTTATAAATTACCAGGCTGAATTGTACTCTAATTTATTATAAATTATAAATCTAATAAGTTATTTAGTTATTTAAATTAAATAAACACTTACAGTTTATGATTTTATTACTCAAATTTTTAAATTAAATTAATAATTTTGTAAATTTTGTCAAATTATTTGGATATTATTAATCAACAATAAATAATTAAAAAGTATTATCTTAATTAAAATTAATAATAAGATTTACATTATTAGATATAATTAACTAAAAATATTTAAGTTATTATTGAATATTAGTTAATTAGTTTAATAAAATTGTGTAATTATTTATAATTAACAATAAAAAAAACTGTAAAATATAAATAATTTGTTATTATAAATAATATTAATATATTTTTGTATTAAACTAATGAATGACTTTGAATGAAATGAACAAAATTTACTGAGTAAGATTAATAAAAAAATATATATTTATTTATTTATTAGTAAAAAATTTAATTACAGTTTATCGATTAATGATTTAATAGTGAATATAATTACTAAATAATAAATATAATTTATAAATATTGAACAATATTGTATTATATGTATATATATATAATTATTTTCTATTTCAATAAATAAAAGTTGTATTATATTTAAATTTACATAAATAAAACAATAATTTGGTTATTTCTTTATCAATTAACATAACTATTGTTTACTATTTAAACTATTTATTATCTTAAACTATATAAAAATATTCATTTATATTATTATCTTTTAATTACTTTAATTTTTAGCTATTTTAATAATAACTAATTATATATATAATTATATTTTATGATTAATTTATTAAAAATATCAATTCATATATATATATATAATATATAGTAAATAAAGATATTTAATCAAATTATCAGACTGTAGTCAAATTATTAAAATGTTTTATATATAATTATAATAATAATGATTATAAATATTTAGTTTATAGTATTTTGAATTTATAATATATATATATTTTTGATTGACATACTACGGTTTAACTTAAAGTTAAAAAAATATTAATTTTTTAAAATAAATTATACTATAAATTATATTTTATTTGGTCAACGCCTTAAATCCTAACATTTATAAAAATCAAATTAAATATTTACTAATTTGTTTGTAACGAAATTTTCGTACAGTTTTTGGATTACTTATTTAATAAATAAATATATAAATAATAAATAATAACATTATTTAATATATAAAATTAACATTATATAAAATAATAATAATTATTTAGATAATTGTTTTCTATTTCAATAAATTAGTTATTGTAACTAATAATTTTAATTAAGTTTTAATAATTTTATCAAATAATTATTTCATTATTAGATAATTAACTAAATATATTTATGTTATTATTATTAATAAATAAGTTTAATAAGATTGTGATTATAATATATATTATGATATAATAAATAGTATATATTTAACAATAATAAACTGTAAACTTAAATATTTTTTTATTATTAATAATATTAATGTTATGTGTATTTAGATTTTAGTTTTTACGAAAATTAAGTAAATTTTATTTTTATTTTAAAAAAATATAAAGAATAGTAACTGTAATTAGTTTATTATGATAATTATTTTAAAAATATTTATAATGTTAAATTATGTCTAAATTATTTCCATTTTATTAATTTATAACAATCTTTGAAACAAAATTATATTTAATTTTTTTCACCTAAAATTATTGATATGAAAATTTTTTACACATACGATTAATGATTAATAATTAAATAAATTTTTTAATAAAATGTTTTTTTTAATGATATATTAAGTTTTAACTGAGTGTAAAAATTATTATAAATTATATTTGGTATTCGATGGTATATATCATCTAAATTTAATGGAAATATTAAAAATTATTTACTTAATTATTTGTTATTAAATCTTAGTACAGTTTATCAATAATAAATATAAATAATAATATATTAAATATATATTTATAATTTTTTTTTAGATAATTATTTTCTATTTCAATAAATTTTTTAAAAAAAAATGTATCTTTAATCTATAGTTAATAACTAATTTTACCAAATATTTAACATTTTTTTATAATTTTAACTATTAATTAAAATTATTTAATAATTAAATATAAATTTATTATTTTTTATATTAATAAATTGTAATCTTAGACTATTTTGTCAAGTTATCATCAATATAAAAATATTAATAATTTATGTTTTAAAAAAAATTAATTAACTGGATCTATAGTACTCTAATTTATAGTAAATTATAAATCAAATAAATTATTTAGTTATTAAAATTAAGTGTCATTTACAAGTTATGATTTGATTTATCAATATTTTAAATAAAATAAGTATTTATTAAATATTAATATATTATTTTTTTTATTTATTATTTATTTATTTATTTATTAATATATTTAAAAAAAATGTATTATTGTTTATAATTATCAATAAAATAAACTGTAAAATATAAATAATTTATTATTATTTATAGTATTAATATATTGTGTCTTAAACTTTTAGATTTAGCATGAAAAGAAAAAAATTTATAATTTTATTATTGGGAGAGTATGAAAAAAAACAAACAATTGTTTGTTTTTTTCAACCAAAGTATGAAAAAAAACAAAATTTTGTTTTTTTTCATTTTAATCATAATTTCAATTTAAATCCAAAAAGCAATTTTTTATAATTACAGTTTTTTATTCTCTAAAATTAAACAATGTTTTTATTGTAAAAATTTATTAATATTTTTATATTTTAATTAGTTTAATTATATTTTTACA